AATATTTCTATTTTCCTTGATAGAATAAAGATTTTGGTACACTGAAAAGCAATACTATTCTGGTAATAATTCTTTTAATAATTATAGGTAAATAATTCTTTTATAGGTAAATAATTCTTTATAGGTAAATAATTCTTTTAATAGAATAGACAATACAGGAGCAAACTATCTCAGTAAGTACTCTCCTTTTTTTTTTTTTTTTTTGGTACGAGGGATTGAACCCAGGGTGCTTAATCACTGAGTTACATCTCCAACCCTTTTTACTTTTTATTTTGAGACAGGGTCTTCCTAAGTTGCTTAGGGCCTCATTAAGTTGTTGAGGTAGGCCTTGAACTTATGATCCTCCTGCCTCAGTCTCCTGAGACACTGGGATTACAGGCGCATACCACCATGCTTAGCCTGTTCTCTTATTTTTGAGGAACTATTTTAAGAATAAAATATAGAGAGAATGAATTATATAACAAAAAAACTAAATGTCCATCTAGTCTTTCCCAAATCTCTATATTTTGCCTTTTGTTTTTGCAATCCTCCTACCTCAGCCTCCTGAATAGCTTAAACTGCAGACTTACCATGCCCAGCTTCTGCTTTTTGTGTGTGTATGTGATGCTGGGAATTGAGCCCAGGACTTCATGCATGCCAGGCAAAGACTGTACCACTGAGCCACCTCCTTAGCCCCAGTTTATGCCTTTTTTAAGTTATGAGATGAAATGAGAAAAAATATACATAGTCTTATACTTAAACATTTATTTATCATTTCTATTGACTTTATTTCTGATTATTAATGAAAGTTACCATCCAGTATCATTTCCTTTCTGCTTAAAACATTTTCTTTAGTGTTTCTTTAGCAAGAATGAATTCTCTTCAGTTTCATTTATTCAGACAAGTCTTTATTTTAACTTTATTTTTGAAGGATAGTTTTACTGAATATAGAATTCATGATTAAGAGTTACTTTTTTCTGCTCCTTTGAAATGGCCTCATTTTTTTCTTATGAGAGTGCTACTATTAGTCATATTATTCTTCCCTTGTATATACACATCTCTTACTACTTCTATGATTTTCCCATTATGATTGGTTTTCAATCACATAATGACATCTCTAGGTGTGGCTCTCTTTGTGTTTATTATTTGGGATTCCTTGAGCTTCTAATATTTTAATATTTTTCATTACAGTTTTGGAAGTCTAAAAACTTCCATGATCTTTTTCAATATCTTTTTGCCCCTTTGTCTCTGTCTTCTCCCTGTGGTCCTCCCATTATGTATATATTTGCACTACTAATATCCCCAAATTTTCCAATCTGTTCATTTTTCCTGATTCTTTTTTCTTCAGATTGATAGACCTCTTTTGATATATCTTCAAGTTCACTGATAATTTCTTTTGCAAACTCAGTATACAATTGAACCTCACTAATGAATATTTCATTTCAATTTTTATAAATTTTAATTCCTTCTTCCTGTTTTTAAATATGTTCTGTCTCCTTATTTATGTTTTCTAATAGATGAGACATTGCAGTAATACTTTTCTTTATTTGAACATATTGATGATACTTTGAAAACTGTCTCTAAATCGAATACCTGAATTCAATCAGTTTCTATTAACTGTTTATCCAGATATGAACCATATTTTCCTATAACATGTCTATTAGTTGAAACCCAAACATATTAATTACACATTATAGCAACTTTGCACTTATTTTTATTTGTTGAGGGTTTCGTTGTTGTTGCTATTGTTTGGTAATTTGAGTGCAACTGAAATCTTTTTGCCCCAGTGGCTAATGTCTTTTATAATAGTTATTGTTGTTCTTTGGTATGTCTTCCTAAGGGTTTCCCGTGTACCAATTGTATAGCTTAGTAGTCACCTAATAAGTTGAAGAAGCCATTGTATTCAAGTGGGTAAGGCTTCTTTTCTGCCTGGTGATCTCTGGGTGAGTTGGTAAGTGCATTTATAGTCACAGCTAATGCTCAAATCTTGATTCATCTTTACTCTTTGCTGTATTCTCTTCTTTACTGCATACTTCCCCATCAGCCATGCATATATGGAGAATTTATCTCAAATTTTCAATGACTCTCATTTCCAGGATTTCCCAGTTAAATTTTTGTCTTGTCTGCCACTTGCCTCAACTGAGACTGCAACTTCAGAATAGCAAAGCTGCAGGTTTTCTCTTTTCATTTTCTAATTTTCACTGGCAAAGCATGGGTTTACTTCTTCTTCAACACCATATCAAATATGCCCTACCTCTGGCAGAAAAGCTGAGAATTTTTATATCCCTCTCCATTCTGAAAAAAATTAACAGTTTTTTTTTTCCAACTGAGCATTGGGAAGAGATGATTGCCGAGAAGAATGGGAACAACCTCAGGCGGGAAGACCTCTGACTCCCAATGATCCTAGTACTTTTTCTATGAATAAACATCTCTCAATTTAATAATTAACTTTGGTCAATTTTCAGGGTCCTGATATGGTTGTTTTTGATAATTTGGTGCCATTTTTTATGTGGGTTGTTTTTCATTCTTAGGTATGGAAATAAATCGCCAACCTATTCATACCACTATTATTGAAAGCCCCCTCCCACCTTATTTTTATAATACCTGATTAACTATTTTCATTAGTAATATGTAATAAAATCAACACTTTTTAGTCTAACCTATGTGTTTGTAAACTTCTTTGTGCAATATTTCTTCCATTTTGATTTTGTCTCCTATTTCTAAAACATAACTTTCAGTAGGTTTCTCCTCAGTAAAGATATGCTCTTAGATGTATTTGCTTAATATTTTCAATTTGTCCAGTTTTACTGGATGCAGAATTCATCATTAGATATTTATTTATCTCTGTACTTTGAAGACTTTGTTATCTTCTAGCCTCTTGTTGTTTTTGGAATCGAGAATCTGCAGTAATGTTTATTTCTTTACAGATAATCTACTTCTTTCTCTGGATTCTTAAGATCTTATATTTGTGTTTGGTAGTCTGTACTTTCTCTCAACAATGAATTTAAGTGTCTAATTATTTTTTTAAGTGAGACATTTGAATTTATTTAATTCCCTTATGTAATCCTTTCTTATCACTCAATTTCCACTTTAGTTCTTATTACAATGATTGAAGTCTGATTCTGATAAGTATCTAATTATTTTTACTTAATCTAAGAACTCATTTTGCTTCCTGTGTTCAAATCATTACCAAATTGATTATGTTTTTAGTCAATCCTGTAAAGTATATTGTCTTTCCTTCACTCCTTCCATGCTATTTCTATAATTACTATTAGATTTATTTTAGGCCTTTTTCATAATCTAAATCTCTACCCTTTTCTATCTCAATTTTCTTTTTATGTTATATTCTGGGTAATTTCCTCACATCTATTTGTTATGTTTCCCTCTTCAGCTGTTTGCAGCCTGCCATTTAAGATACTTAGTGATTTTCAATTTCAGTATTATTTTAGCTTCTGTTCAATTGTTCCATTTGATTTTTTAAAAAATATTTCCAATTTTTTCTCATATCTCCAAGTTTTAAAAATTTTCTTTGCTCTCTTTAAAAATACTTATAGTGTCTATCTGGTAGTCCTAATAGATGAAGTTTTCATATATTTAATCCTCTTCTTTGTTGTCTCTATTAACTTTTTCTCATGATATATTTCTTAAGTTTATATTCATTGGAGCTTTATTTACATAGTCTGGAATCAGAAGTGTTCATTAGAGATATTTTGAATTAGTAGCTATCAAGTGCTCCAGAGATGGTTCCATGGGTCGGGGATCATTTTTATGCTTGGTTTAGAACTTTGGGGGTTCCCAATCCATGAAAATCTTGTAAACATGAGCCCTAAACATAAGTTATATAAGGTCTATTTTATATATGAATTTTCAAAGGAGATTTTGCCATCTAGAAACCAGCTAAAACAAACTGCCTGGTCTCCTCAGTTTGCCAGTAGAACAATATTTTTGAGTTCATTTTTTAGTACAGCGTTAGCCCTTTAGGTGTTCACATTTTTTCTAGGTGACAATACTGGGGAGGAGGCAATAATCTTAGTTTTAGCTTCCTGCTTTGACCAAGTCAAAATCTTCCTCGTTTACATTGACATTTTTCTGTAACCAAAAAAAGACTTCACAGCTTAAAAAAAAAATTGCACTTTTGCTGTTTTAATAACCTGAAAATCACCAAAAATTATGATTCATAGTAAATGAAGGTAGGTAGAAATTTACAGTATAACTATCTTTTCTTTATGGAAACCTCTGGACTATTGTATTTATTTGTATGTATTTGCCAGAAACAAGATGTATATAACCTTATTCTACTCACTCTGTCTACCAATATTTCCTACACATATGTACTTTATATTTATTTTTCACCAAGTCCAGGTGCACTTTTTCCAGGCCTTACCCTCCCTAGTACACTTAGATCAAATATCAACTGAGTTACTTTCAGTACAAAGATTTAGTCTGCTCATGTTAAAAAATTGGCACCTTGCCATTGTTATCGTCAATAAAGTTGAGATTTAATGTCATGGCCAATCGTCATCTTATTCTGAAGCACAAAATTCAGAATATCTCATATTGCCATGATACTCTTTAAAATGTCAGATATTATATGTTTTAGCACTTTAAAGAATTCACATGGAATTTTTTCTTTCTTTTTTTTACTTACATTAAATTCATTTTTAAAGGATACATGAAACAGAATTTGTACATATTAATGGTGTACCATGTGATGTTTCAATATTTAAATATACTGCATGATGTTTAATTAGGATAATCCTGTCTTAAGAATTTATCATTTATTACTTAAAGTTGTACAAGTGTCTTTTTAAATTAAAAATGCATTGTTTAAAGCTTGTTTCATAAATTAACAGGGTCTTTGGAATATATCTTAAGTAGATGTCTCTCTTCAGTAATACTAGTAAGCAATATTATTTTATACTATGGATTGTTATATAGAACTGGCTATTATTGAATTCATCTTTTGTTTGTGTACAGCTATGTCTATAAAGATATGTAGATACATTTTTTTTATATTTCAGGAGTTATACTCTGTATGCTGTGGTGTTTAACCTGGACATTCTCAGGCTCTGAAGCTCTTCCTGGTGGAAATTTATTTGGACTAATAATTATTTTTTGTAGTGCCTTTCTTGGGGGGAAATTTTTGGAAATCATTAGAATACCTTCAGTGCCTCCACTTCCACCCCTTCTTGGTAAGTATTTAATTAGCTCTCTCTTGTTCATTGTTGATTGAATTTTGAACATTTTCTAATTGGACTAGATATGATTCAGAAATATTTCAGTTTAATATAATCTGTGCAACTTCTCTGTGTATGTATTTATTTTATATGTGTATCCATGTGTATATATATGTCTTTTTTCCAAAAAAAATATTTTTTAAATAATTTAAATATCCTCACTACATGATTCTTGTTGCTCCATTTCTTCATAAATAATTTTTTCTTAATTTTAAATATATTATAGAAAAAGAAAAATATAGAAAAGTCTGAGTTTTTGTGTATATCATGTAACTTGAATACAAGATTCAAATAATATACTGACTAGGGCACCAAAAGGTCTATGATTTTTGAGTAAGCTGTTTGGTCATCAGCACTATGTATATTTATGGATTCCTCACCTGCATTATGCACTGTTTCTTCATCACCAGTGTTCTGTAACTCTCCAGCTGAACAGAATAAAATTAGTGGAAGAATATTTATCAGAAATGTCTCATATCACTGGGTGCAGTAGTACATGCCTGTAATGCCAGCGGCTTGGGAGGGTGAGACAGGAGGATCTGGAGTTCAAATCCAGCCTCAGCAAAAGGAGAGCACTAAGCAACTCAGTGAGACCCTGTCTCTAAATAAAATACAAAATAGGGCTGGAGATGTGGCTCAGTGGTTGAGTGCCCCTGAGCTTAATCTCTGGTACCCAAAAAAGAAAACAGAAAAGAGAAATATCTCTTATCTTCTAAGTAATCAATACATCTAAATATTCAATATACTATCAGCAGAGATTATCTCTACATCTTATATCTAATGCATTTTCTATGTTCATATACCCTTAGAGGACCTTCTAAGTATTTATTGAATCTCTTTCCTCCTTCCCAAAACTTGTTTTCTCTATAGCTTAGGCTGTTTCTGTCTTTTGCATGGACTATGGCAGAATCTTTTAACAGACTTTTGTCTCCAGTTTTATCCCTGTCTAAATCATTAAAACTATAATGTATCAATCACATCCTGCTTAAAATCTTCCTGTGGTGCCTTATTCTGGCCAAAGGGAAACTTTCCACGATCTGGCCCCTCCAGCTCCTTCTTCCATTCCCATCCTGTCCTTTATGATCCAGTAACAATGAATTACTTATATCACATTTAGACGTGTTGTTTCTTATCTTCATTACTTTATTCATGCTGTCTCCTCTTTTTGTATATAACCTGCTCTTTATGCAAAGTAAAAAGAGACATGTTTTTAAAGAGGGGAGTGTCTGTTTTTCTCTCTTGAATAATTGAACTAAACCAGACATGCTTTATGTTCTTCTTTTCTTTTTTAAGGGATGTTACTGGCTGGTTTTATGATCAGGAATATTCCATTCATTGGCAAACATGTCCAAGTACATAACACATGGTCTGCAACTTTAAGAAACACTGCCCTTACCATTATCCTAATACGAGCTGGGCTTGGACTTGATCCACAGGTAGATTTTCAAATGTATCTTGAATTATTTCAAATATTAGAGGCTGGTAGGAAAGAAAAAGAGACAGAATTTTTGTAATAGCTGTTCCAAATAGAGCAAACTAAGATAAAGAACAAAGACTTTGCAAAAGTACTGGCATCTTAATTTCTATTTCTAGTTATCATTATTACCTATATGAAGAGAAATCATTGTGGTGTATGGTCTCTATTGGGGAGCATCTATAATTATTTACACAGAGAAATGTCTCTTATGCAGCACTTGTATTACTTGGGAGGCTCTTCTATGGAGAACTATTTACTTTTCAGTTAATAAAGGAAAGGTCACCCTATAAAATGATTCTTTTTTTTAAGGAGATTAAGAATTCAATAATATATTTGTTTCATGACTTTTTCTCCATAGAGTATGTTCCTGTTTTGTTGTAAAAGCACATTAATTATTTCATAAAATATTATAATATGGGGATCATAAATCTTTTTGGCTTTAAGAGGATGACTATACACGCACATAATAGCAACTCAAATAAATGTGGCAAATGTATATGTTTAATGCAAATATTATCCCATAAGCATAAATAATTATAGCCAGTGATAATTTTATTTTCCAATAGAAAATTTGAACCTCTGAGAAAATTGAAAAGTTCTCCCTTTTTAAATTAATTATAAACTTAAGTTATTTTTATGGCATTTTGGTGTGTTCTATTTGTAAATATTAATTTAGTCAAATAGTTAGTTGCTAAAAGGTAATTAATGGAAAACACCCATAGGATATTATCATTCTATCAAATATTAGGAAAATTAGGCAGTTAGAAAGATTTAGATACTTAGTTATAAAATAAATCCTTTAAAATAACTATAATAATATTTTATAAAGTATGAAATTATTTATTATCCAATGTATGATGATATATAAAATGAGCTATATTAGAGTTTCAAGCCCAATAGAATGATCTGGCCAAATAAGATGCAGTATAGTAAAAGTTTATTACTCAAAAAACTCTCTAATTCAATGTTTGCTTAAATACTTTCCTTTTTGACCTTTGTAAGTTTACTCAAATATTACTCTATATTTCAGGCTTTACAACATTTGAAAACTGTTTGTTTAAGATTGTCTTTCGGTCCATGCATCTCAGAGGCATGCGCAGCTGCTGTTTTTTCCCACTTCATTATGCAGTTTCCTTGGCAATGGGGATTTCTATTAGGGTAATTTTTTTCTTTTTTGCCTATGAAAATACACAGTTAATGATGGTTGGTTGAAAACTATTGAAATATTCAAAATATTGTATAAACAAGCTCTTCATTAAAATTTGTTTTCATAAAGTAGATGACCTTGGAAATCAGTTGACCAAACACAGAGCCATGTCCCAAATCTATGATGTATTTGACAAACATTCATAGTTCTTAAATATGTAGTGCCATGGTAATCCACTTCATCAATTTATTCTTTCTTTTCTGTATTATAATGTATTTGTATATTTATCCTATCTAATGGCCTCTTCCTCCTATACTATATGTATGTATATATATGCATGTGTATATATGAGAGATATTTCTATAGTTATATATTTGTAATGTTTAAAAACTCCCATTTTTAAAAACACACAAATAAAAACTCCCTAAATTCGTTGCCCCAACTGCCTTTTTTACTATTCATCTACCTGATTGTCCAAATTCCTTAAATCTGTAAGCACTTTCTTATTGCCAAACCAATGGATTTTTAAAATTAATTTGTATTGTTAAATGCCCAAATACATTTATCTTTTTTTTTTTTTTTTTTTTTTTTTTTTTTGGTGCAGTGCTGGGGATCAAACCCAGGGCCTCATGCATGTGAGGCAAGCACTCTACCACTGAGCTATACCCTTCAACCCTGCATTTACCTTTTTGTTGTTGTTGTTGTTGTTTTATTAGTTGCTCATGACAATACAATGATCTTGACATATCATACATTTGAATCAAATGCATTTACCTTTTGAAAAATTAGAACTTTACAGATAAAAGTGAAGTACCCATTGACTATGCTATCAATATATGAAATTGTAATGCATCCATATCCTCTCCAATGGTAGTGTTTATTTAATTTTAGTGTTTTTAAGAGAATGTACAGTTATATCCTATTGCAGATTTATTTTATATTTACCTCACTACTGTCATTGTGCATCTTTTTATGTGCTAGAATATTTGTATGTCTTCTTTGATGAAGTGTCAGTTCAAATCTTTTGCCAGTTTTTAAAATTATGTTCTTCATCTTCATTATGAGTTTTAAATTACTTTTATATAAAGCCTTTTATCTAATATATGTATTGTCTAATATATTTTTTTCTCCAAATGTGTGACCAATATAAATAAATTGAATAAAATAACAGAAATTTGTTTCTCACAGTTCTGGAAGTTAGAAGCCAAAATTTCTTCCTTTTCTAGTTCTCCTTTTTCTTCTATTCATTAAATATTGAAATGATCTAGTATCAGACCCTCTTTTTTTTCTTATTCTGACTCTGATTCTTCTCTTATATTGTAATGATTTCAAATCTATCTCCAAGCCATTTATTTTCAAGTCCATAACTCAAGTCCCCTATATTCCTTTAACTATAGGAGACACATACCGAGAGCTCTAAGTGGGAACATCACATCAAAGTAGAGGATCGTATCTTATGAGGTAGATGTCTCATCCTCAAAAACCAAAAGTGTTCCTCTGAAGTTTTGTTACTGTTTCAAATTATGTGACAACAATTATCATTTTTGAGTCCTTACCATGTGCTATGCAATCTTCTGTGAGCTTTATACATATTAATTCATCTTTGTAATGCTCATTTTAATCTCACATTATTCCAAACTAGAAAACTTAGAGAATGATTAAATATATCACTTAACTTTGTAAGTAACTGAAATTACCTTGTAGCATGACTTCAGGGTTCACATTCTCAACCTTGTACTGAGACTATGAATATGTATGTAGCACTTTTGATAAAGGTGGCATATCAAGTCAAGATAAGGAAGTTTTAGTTAAAAAGTATATTGGGATAACTGGAATATTATTTGAGAAAAATTAGGGTATTGTTAGGTTTTTTTGCTTCATAGTACATGTCTAATGAACTAAAGACTTCAACATAAAATGCACATTTTTAAAAAGTATATTTTTGGGGGGGTACTAGGGATTGAACTCAGGGGCACTGAGCCACATCCCCAGTCCTATTTTGTATTTTATTTAGAGACAGGGTCTCATTGAGTTGCTTCCTCACTTTTGCTGAGGCTGGCTTTGAACTTGAGATCCTCCTGCCTCAGTCTCCTGAGCAACTGGGGTTAGAGGTGTGTACCACCATGCAAGGCAAAAAAAAAAAAAAAAATTCTTTTAGTAGTACTTTTGATGATAGAGAGGTATTTTCTTTTTCTCAAAATGTGTTTATTTTAAATTGACAGATAAAATTATAAGTCTTTATCCTGTATAATATAATATTTTGGAATATATATGCATTATGGAATGATTAAATCTAATGAAAATATGCATTACCTCACATAGTTATCATTTTTATGGGGAGATGTAATATCCATTTAGGATTAGTCATTAGTATAGTACATCATAACTATTGAATTTATTCCTTCTATCAAATTATGATTTTTTAACATTTCCCTAATATCCTTTCATTTTTTAAATAGTGTTTCAAGAGAAGATTTAAATTTTGATTTATATTTTATTAGTTTTTCTTTTATGGTTTGGGCTATTCTGAAAAACTTGCCATCCTCAACAAAAGTTATGTTAATTTTTTATACTTTTTTCTGAAAGTTTCATAATACAAGCTTTTAAACTTAAGTGTACTACCCATTTCCAGTCAACTTTCATTGGATGCCATGAGATAAGAGTCAAGATTCATTTTTCCTATAATGCTATGAAGTTGTTATAATGACTTCCTCATTATATTATTTTAGCACTTCTGGTGAAAACTTATGCTTATATATTTTAAATTCTGCTTTGCCAAATATTAACATTACTCTGCTGCCATTCTGTCTGGAGTGAGATAATGTCTTAGTTTTGATTTGCATTTCTTTAATTGCTAGAGATGATGAACATTTTTTTATATATTTGTTGATTGATTGTATATCACCTTCTGAGAAGTGTCTGTTCTGGTTTGGCCCATTTATTGATTGGGTTATTTGGTTTTTTGGTGTTTAGTTTTTTGAGTTCTTTCTATACCCTAGAGATTAGTGCACTATCTGATGTGCAGCTAGTAAAAATTTTCTCCCAAGCTGTAGGCTCTCTGTTCATTCACCTCACTGATTGTTTCTTTTGCTGAGAAGAAGCTTTTTAGTTTGAATCCATCCCATTTATTGATTCTTGGTTCAAATTCTTGTGCCATAGGAGTCTTATTAAGGAAGTAGAGGCCTAATCCAATAAGATGGAGATTTGGGCCTACTTTTTCCTCTATTAGATGCAGGGTCTCTGGTTCAATTCTTAGATCCTTGATCTACTTTGAGTTGAGTTTTATGCATGGTGAGAGATAGGGGTTTAGTTTCATTTTGTTGCATGTGGATTTTCATTTTTCCCAGCACCGTTTGTTGAAGAAGCTGTCTTTTCTCCAATGCATGTTTTTGGTGCCTCTGTCTAATATAAAATAACTGTAATTATGTGGGTTTGTTTGTCTCTGTGTCCTCTATTCTGTACCATTGGTCTAATGGTGCCAATACCTTGCAATTTTTGTTACTATTGCTCTATTATTTAAGGTCTGGTATAGTGATGCCACCTGCTTTACTCTTCCTGCTAAGGATTACTTTAGCTATTCTGGGTCTCTTCATTTTTCCAGATGAATTTCATGATTGCTTTTTCTGTTAAATTGTTAAACATTTTTATTGAAATATAACTTAATGTTCAGACAAGTACAATGTACATAAATGTGTAATACAGTTCATTGCTTAACTAAAAGGTAACTATTTACATCACCACCACACAGATAAAGCAATAGAACATTGCTAGAACCCCAGACCTGCAGTTATCACATGCCTCACAATCACCTATCTCCTCCACACAGATAATCACTTCACTAACTTTTAATAGTATAGTTTAGTTTGTTTCTAATTTTGTTTTATATAAATGAAATCATGCAGTGTTTATTCTTTTGTGACTAGTGTGTTTCACTCAACATTATGTTTGAGATTGAACCATGTTATTGTATATTAATGTATTCATTCATTTTCATTGTTGTGTAATATGTCGTTGTATGAATATACTAAAGTTTATTTACTTATTCTATTGTCAATTTATATATTATGAATATTCTAGTGTATAGATCTTGGGATACGTGTACACAGTTTTCTATAGACATAGAAAGGGAATGTTGATTCATATGGAAAATATGTAGTTCTATAGGTAGCTTGTCATATATTTTTGATATTCCTAATTTATACTCTCATCAGTAGTTGATGAGAATTTCTGTTATTCAACATTCCCACCAACTTTGGAATCATTATAGTCTTTTTAAAAATTTTTAAGCCATTCTAATGACTGTGTTATTTCTTTGAGATTTTTATTTGCATTTTCCAGTGAGGCTAAAAAATGTTGGTTCCAATTTATTTCCTATATTTGTAATGGAGTCTTGATTGTTTTTTCCATTGATTTGTAGAAGTAATTAAGATATTCTAGGTACATTTTTTTGGTGAAAAATGTTATAAATATCTTCCATTCTGCAACTTCTCTTTCACTCTCATTTAATGATAGAAAATTTTAGTTTTAATATAGTATAATTCATCAGTTTTCCAATTAAAAATTTTGTGTCATATTTACAAAATCATCCCTTATCCCCAAATTCAAAAAATATTCTTCTATATCATCTTTTAGAGCTGAGTATATTGGCACAAGTCTGTAATCCCAGTTACTTGGGAGGCTGAGGCAGGAAGATTACAAATTTGAGGCCAGCCTCAGTAACTGAAAAAAATCCTGGCACAGAATAAATTTATAAAGGGTTGGGAATGTAGCTCTCTGGTAAAGCATTTGTATAGCATGTGTGAGGCTCTAGGTTTAACCCCCAGTACTGGGAGAAAAAAAATGTTCTGGAAATTTTACTGTTTTATCTTTCACATTTAAATCTACAGTCTATCTTAAATTGACTTTCTGTTTTTGATATGAGGTAGGGCCAAATCCCTACCCTCCATGAATATCCAGTTAACCTAACACCATTGACTAAAGAATTATTCTCCCCATTTCCATTGTTCTTAGT